TCTATGTAGAATTTTCTTTTGTTTTTGTTTTTAAATATGTTTTTATTTATTTTTTAGAGAGAGAAAGATTGAAACATTGATGTGAGAGAGAAACATTGGTCGGCTTCCTCCTGCACGCTCCCTACTGGGAATCGAGCCTGTAACCGGGGCACGTGCCCTGACTGGAAATCGAACTGGGACCTCTCAGTCCATAGGACGATGCTCAATCCACGGAGCCACACCAGCCAGGCGAATTTTCTTTTTTATAGAAATAGGATCCAACCACATGTTTTAGTGTACAGCTTTTCTTTTTTACTTCATAATAATTCTTAGAAGTTTTTCTATACTATATATATATGAAAAGTAATTCTAAGAAAGAAATTAGAAATCTCTTTAAAGAATATATTTTTGCCCAAAATGATTTGGCTTAACAGTTAGAGCATTGGCCTGCGGACCAAAGAGCCTCAGGTTCGATTCTGGTCAGGGGCATGTACCTCGGTTGCAGGTTTGATTCCTGGCCCTGGTTGGGGTCACCCAGGAGGCAACCAGTCAATGTGTCTCTCTCGCTTTTATCTCTTCCTCCCACTCTATCTGAAAATCAGTGGAAAAATATCTTCAGGTGAGGATTAAAAACAAAAAAGAAAGAAAATATGCTCTTTTTTGTTAATCTTCACTTGATATTTTTCCATTGATTTTTCTTTTTTTTTTTAAGAAAATGGAAGGGAGGTGCGGTGAAGGGGAAGGGGAGAAAGAGAAACATCGGTCGGTTGCTTCTTCCCCTGACTGGGACTGGGGATCGAACTCAAGACCTTTCAGTGTGAAGGCCAACACTCTAACCACTGAGAAACACCAGCCAGGGCAAGGATATACTCTTTTAAGTTGAATAAATTTAGCTTTATGAAAAACTTGTTATATTGTCTTTATTTTTATCATTTTATCATAGACCAGTGAAAACTTCACCACAAAATGGCATATGTGGATCTGGATTTTTAGGACTCACTGGCTTAGGAAACTGTAGAATACCCAGTAGGAGCAGAATAATTTCTTCCATTCCTCTGTCTTACCCCAGTATGCTTTGGACTTTTCTGAGTTCTCACTCTATCTCAATCCTCTGCCAGCTTTCTCATTATATTTCTTTTTTTTTGTCAATCCTTGCCTCAGGATATCTTTCCATTGAGTTTTAGACTGAGTGAAAGAGAGGAAGGGAGAGAGAGAGAAAGAGAGAAAGAAAGAAAAAACATCCATATGAGACACACATAGATTGGTTGCCTCCTGCATTACCCCAACCAGGGCCGGGGATCGAACCTGCAACCCAGGTATGTACCATTAACAGGTATGTGCTCTTGACTGGGAATCAAACCCGCAGCCCTCCAGTCCATGAGCTGACGCTCTAACCACTGAGCAAACAGGCCAGGGCCATTGGTTGATTCTTTTTTTAAATTTATTATTATTATTATTTTTAATCCTCACCCAAGGACATTTTTATGTTTTTTGTTCAGATAGAGTGGGAGGGAGAGAGAGAGAGAGAGAAACATCGATGTGAAAGGGACACATCAAGTGGCTGCCACCCGCACGACCAACCAGAGCCGGGGACAAACTGTAACTGAGGTGTGCACCCTTAGCAGGTCTCTCTGGACCGCAGGCTGATGCTCTAACTGCTGAGCCAAACCTGCCAGGCCATTGGTTGATTCTTGTATGTGCCCTGACTAGGGATTAATCCTGCAAACTTGGCATATCAGGACAACACTCCAACCAACTGAGCCAGCCAGCCAGAGCCTACGCTTTTGTTTTTCTCTATCTCTTTTATATTATGGTTGCTTTTTAGGAACATATTGATAACTAATACTGAATTATACCTTAGAATATTAAAATGATCTTTTCTGTAAATTAGGGCCATCCAGTAGCAATAAGTATCTCATTTATTAGCACTTTGCAAAATAAATCATTCACTTAATCCGCATAGCCACTCTATGAGGTAGGTATTTTTTCCTTTTTTTTTTTAAAGCTCTCCTGAGTATATTTTTCCATTTATTTTCAGATAGAGTAGGAGGAAGGGAGAGAGAGAGAGAGAGAGAAAGAAACATTGATGTGAGAGAGACCCATTGATTGGGTTTCTCCCGCATAGCCCTAGCCAGGGCCAGGACTGCAACTGAGGTACATGCCCTTGACAGGACTCAAACCTGAGACACTTTGGTTTGTGAGCCAGTGCTCTAGCCACTGAGCCAAACTTGCCAGGGCAAGTATTTTTTCCATTTTATTTTTATTAAAAAAATATATTTTTTGCCCTGGCCGGTTTGGCTCAGCAGTTAGAGCATCGACCTGCGGTCCAAAGAGACCCGGGTTCAGTTCCTGCTAAGGGCACATACCTCGGTTGCAGTTTGTCCTCGGCCCTGGTTGGGGTTGTGTGGGTGGCAACCACTCAATGTGTCCCTTTCACGTCGATGTTTCTCTCTGTCTCCTCCCACTCTATCTGAACAAAAAATGGAAAAATGTCCTTGGGTGAGGATAAAAAAAAAAAATTTTTGATTTGAGATAGAGGGGGGAGGGGGGGGAGAGAGAAACATCAATGTGAGCGAGAACATCGATTGGCCATCTCCTGCATGCCCCCCACTGGGGATTGGGCCCACAACCTGGACATGTGCCCTGACTGGGAATCACACCAGTGGCCTCTTCTTGCATGGGTTGACGCTCAACCACTGAGCCACATTGGCTGGGCTGTTTTTTCCATTTTATAAAAATGGAAAATGAAGATTGGGCAGAAAAGGTTTCTTTTCTTTCTTTTTTTATTTTTTTATTTTAGAGAGAAGATGGGAGGCAGAGAAAGAGAAAGAAACACTGATTTGTTGTTTCACTTATGTATGTATTCATTGGTTGATTCTTTTTTTGTTAATCCTCACCTGAGGATGTTTTTCCATTGATTTTTTTAGATAGAGTGAAAAGCAGGGAGGGAGAGAGAGAAGCATGGATGTGAGAGAGACACATCAATCAGTTGTCTCCCGCACGACCTCGACCAGGGCTGGGGATTGAACCTGCAACCCAGGTACGTGCCCTTGACCTGGAATCGAACCTATAACTTTAGTCCGCAGGCTGATGCTCCAACCACTGAGCAAAACCGACCAGGGCTGGTTGATTCTTGCATGTGTCCCAACTGGGGATCAAACCTGGAATCCTGGCTTAGCAGAATGATGTTCTAACCAACTGAGCTACCTGGCCAGGACCAGAAAAACTTTCTTAATGTCATATTAGTAATGATTAGTAGCTTAATAATAATTTGTGCACTTTGGGTCAAACACTTATTTAAGTTTTTTATATGTTTTATCTCATTGAATCCTCACAACAACCTTATGAAGTAGGGCCTCATAAGGCTGTTATCCATTTCACAGATGAGAAAAGGAGTACATAGATAAGATTTAGTAACTTTGGCCCAAAGTCTCACAGCTAGTAAGCAGAACTATAAAATAAACCCAGTGAATTGGCCTTCACAGCTTCTGTTCCTCTGCACTGCCTCCTATGGTTTTTTTGTCTTTACTGTCTCTCTGTCTTGACTAGGATTGCAAAGATTTTTTTTTTTAATGTTTTTATTGATTTTTTAGAGAGAGGAAGGGGGAGAGAGATAGAAACATCGATGTGAGAGGGAAACATAGACTGGCTGCCTCCTGCACTCCCCACACTGGGGATCGAGCCCACAATTTGAGCATGTGCCCCAACCAGGAATTGAACCAGGACCTCTCAGTCCATGGGACATCGCTCAATTCACTGAGCCACACTGGCCAGGCAGGATTTTGAACCCTGGTTTGACTTCAGAACAACTTGCTTTAGTGACAAAATGTTTCCCCACTTATGCCATAGAGTATGATGTTTATGGAATCACTAGAATCAACCTTGAAGAAGAAAAAAATTAATTTGAACAAGCAAAGTACAACCCAAGTAATACTTAGGTTTTAGAGCTTTTGTGTGCTCTGATCATACTAACTCTTCTTTGAATGTCATAGTTCCTTTCCCCTCAGAGTCAGGATGATGAAATGTTCAGGTTTGCATGATTAGGCTCCCAAAGTCCCAGTTTCTCTCTCTGCCTCCTCCAGCACCAGCTTTCCTAGCCTCTTGGAAGGAAGATAGAGAAGGTGATTCAGTTTATTCTTTCATCAAATATTTATTGCTTGAAGACTTACTCCTACACCATCCCCTGGAGATTGCTGCATGTGTTTAGAAGGTACACCTTCTTTCTCTGCCTCTAATTTGGAGGGCTACAGCTGTTAGGCCTATTTAGTATAGAGGGTAATCTAATCCCTAAGCACTAGGAAGACAGCTGCAAGTTGAGAGTAGGTCAAGCCTACTGACTCTTAGACTTGACTTGCAGACATGGAGTTGATACCAAATGCGGTCTATTGATTGTGTTTCTCCACTCACCTCTGACCAAAAGTGAGAAAGAATAGGTTTTTCTGGCAGTTGGACCTTGGTTAGATTTTAGAAATGTCAAGAAGACTGGTCAAATATGAAGGATACAGAACCAGAAGATACCCCTCCACTATTAGGAGGGGTGACATCCCCTCCTTGAATAAATCATTTGAATAAATCATTTCTTTTGAAAGCTAGGAAAAAGAGCAGGAGGAAGAAAAAGGACTACTCCAGGAAACCAAGGAGATACTGAGGATCTAGGGTACCTGAAGGTGGATCTAGGTGTTCTGGCCAACTAAGTTGATCAATTTGCTGTTCTTTGAAGACATGGTGGGAAATTAACAGGAGTAAAGACTTCTCACATACAGTTTTCAGCCTCCATTTCAGCTCCTTTGGCACTTGGGAATTATGTGGTAGGGCAAATTCTACTTCAGATGCAGTTCTTATTTTATTGTTCTCCATTCCTACCACTGTCAGCTGCTTGGTTGTACTCAGTGGTGTAACCAAATGGAAGATGATTATAAGATCATAGGAGCAAAGAAATTAAGAGATTCTATCCTTTGTCTAAACAGTGATTGTAGCTATAGTGGCCCTGTGTTTAATATTACCTGCTTTTTGTCTTGCAGGACTGTTGAAGCCTGGAAGTCCCCTCCCCTCCCCCTTCCCCCCTTTGCCGCTTTGTGGCATCCCCCTCCCTCCACCCTTTCCCACTCTGAAAATCTAGCCATGACTAGCAGAAGCACAGCCAGGCCCAACGGGCAACCCCAGGCCAGCAAAATATGCCAGTTCAAATTGGTCCTGTTGGGTGAATCTGCAGTGGGGAAGTCTAGCCTGGTATTACGTTTTGTCAAAGGGCAGTTCCATGAATACCAGGAGAGTACCATTGGAGGTGAGTATCTCAGGGAAAGAAGAGGTTCAATGCTTAGTAAGGCTTTTGAGGGGAAACCTATCGAACTGACTGTGAAACTGGCCTGTTTAGCTCCCTGGTATGGAAATACATTATAAAACAGGAAAACATTGGCATAATGCCAAAAAGCAGGTATATATTCATCTTGCTTCCTAGAAGAAAGGTTTACCTTTGTGCACCAATAAAATCACTAATTTTTTCTATCTGTCTCCCTCTCCTACTCATCTTAATCCCGGTGAAGTTCAATTGAGTGTTATATTGAGCAGGGTTGGTTTGGAGCAGTGATTCATAATCAGAGATATACAACATAATCATCTGGGGAGCATTTTCATCCCATGCATGCTTGGGCCTTACCCTAGTGTTGGAGGCAACGGAAGTGTAGGCATGTGTGTATGTATATTCTGATTCGCATATCTGGTAAAACAGAGGCTGGAACTAAATACAAAAGATAAAGGTTGCCCTGGCCGGTTTGGCTCAGCGGTTAGAGCGTCAGCCTGTGGTCCAGAGAGACCCGGGTTCAGTTCCCGCTAAGGGCACGTACCTCGGTTGCAGTTTGTCGCCGGCCCTGGTTGGTCGTGTGGGAGGCAGCTACTCGATGTGTCCCTTTCACATCGATGTTTCTCTCTCTCTCTCTCCCTCCCACTCTATCTGAACAAAAAATGGAAAAATGTCCTTGGGTGAGGATAAAAAAAAAAGATAAAGATCATCTGCCTTTCTCACCTTTGCTAACTTCTCCCTGCCACTACCCCCAAAATAAGGTGCTAATTCAATAAAAGTTCTTTTCTGAGCCCTGGCTGGCTCACCGGTATAGCGTTGGCCTGCGGTCTGGAGAGACCCGGGTTCGGTTCCCGCTAAGGGCACGTACCTTGGTTGCAGTTTGTCCCCGGCCCTGATTGGGTCGTGTGGGTGGCGACCACTCAATGTGTCCCTTTCGCATTGATGTTTCTCTCTCTCTCTCTCCCTCCCACTCTATCTGAGCAAAATATCAAAAAAAATGTCTTCGGATGAGGATTAAAAAAAAAAGATCTTTTATGAGAACTCTTATGTTACTACTTCTCCGCTTGTACTAGTCACCTTGGAAATATGGTGTTCTTGGGCCAGCAGAAAATTATATGAAAAAATAACAGCCAGATAACATTGATAATGGTGGGACCGCCCATCAAGCTTTAAAATCTAATCAGTTTTTGATGTGAGTTTTATCTGAATCTTATCATCTCTTACTCTTCTGTTTGGTTAGTAGAGAGTTGACTCTGGTATAAGTGCCAGTTCTTTCTGTCCCTTATAGTTTATGATGTGCACTCATTCCTTAGGCTAAATAAACTTCTGCAGTAAGGACTTAGCCAGAAGTAGTAGTAATCCTGGTCCCAGGACCTATATATAAGGAAGAGAACACTAAACCTTTACCTGTAGCTGAATGGTCCAAATTGTGACTGGTCTTAGACTGAGAGGGGAGATATTTTGGAGAGGGGTGGGATGTTCCCATTCATCCTCTCACTTACAACTGCTTCTCCATTCTCTCATCCATAGCCGCCTTCCTCACCCAGTCTGTTTGCCTAGATGACACAACAGTGAAGTTTGAGATTTGGGACACAGCAGGGCAGGAACGATACCATAGCTTGGCCCCCATGTACTACAGAGGTGCCCAAGCTGCAATCGTGGTTTATGATATTACTAATCAGGTAAGTGGGCTGAGAAGATTATCCTTGCTTTTATTTATAGGAATTAAATTAGGCAGGGGAGAGAAGACAGGTTCTCAAAAGAACAAAATTATGCTTCCAAGTGCTAAGAAGACAGAGGTAATAAGTTATCAGAGACAAGTGGTCTCAGTGAGGGAAGGCCACCTGGAAGAGGTGAATTTTGAGACTAGGTTTTAAAGGTGATGGGCCTGGATTGACAATCATTCCAGCCCACCCATTTTCTTCCTCATGTTTTCCCAGGAAACCTTCGCCCGAGCAAAGACATGGGTAAAGGAGCTACAGCGACAGGCCAGTCCTAGCATTGTTATTGCCCTGGCGGGAAACAAAGCTGACCTTGCCAACAAACGCATGGTGGAGTATGAAGTAAGATAGTCCATAGAGTCTCTTTCTGATACACTCCCTCTGTGCTTGAGACCTCTTTTGTCTAAACCTGCCTTCTCCAGAAACCTCATCTGAGGACATTCATATCATTCCCCAATTCTGCGCCATGTTAAAAACAGTAACACTGTGACCCTAATGATAGCCAGGAGATTTTAGAGGAGTCAAGAAAATTCCAGAGCAGAGGGGTGGGTAAGAAACACCAGCGGTGGGAGCCCTGGCCAGTTTGTCCCCGGCCCTGGTTGGTCGTGTGGGTGGCAGCCACTCAATGTGTCCCTTTCACGTCGATGTTTCTCTCTCTCCCTCCCATGCTATCTGAACAAAAAATGGAAAAAAATGTCCTCGGGTGAGGATAAAAAAAAAAAGAAAGAAAGAAATACCAGCGGTGGGAGTACCAGTGTGAAAACAGGAAGGAGGGAGCAATTGAATTTGAAATAAGGGACTATTCAAGGGTCAGAATTTCAAAGCTCCCAACCAACTTACCTTCTCTCCCATAATTAGGATTCCTGATATCTGTTTGTTGCATAAAGTGGTCTAGACCATGGGTTATCCTTAAGGGAGCTGTCACCAAAATATGGGTCCAGGGCCAGCTGGCTCAAAGGAGCAGTTAAGGTGAGGGAACGTAGGTTAATGCCTAGCTCTGGTGCTACATGGAAATGGAAAGGCCATACTTATCTTAACCTACATTCTGAGCACCACTATACTCCACCCCTTGCAGGAGGCCCAGGCGTATGCAGATGACAACAGCTTATTGTTTATGGAGACCTCAGCCAAGACAGCTATGAACGTGAATGATCTCTTCCTGGCAATAGGTAAGGTCAGAGCAGTCTGAGGTGTTCCTGCCTTTTTCCCTTACCTCTAGGAAAGATCACAAACCCAAGTCATAAGAATAAATAGGAGTGTCTCCTCTTGTGAGAACTTTGGGTATGGGAATACCTTAACTTTCCATTGTGACCGCCATCCTTTAGCTGCAGCTTGAGCACCCTCGTCTTTTATTTTAGTTTACAAATAGTGAACCCTCCCCTCTTCAGAACATTCTTTTAATGTCTCACATTTCCCCTTACTTCTCCCCCACCTGATAGTCTTTTTTTTGGGATGAGTTAAAATCTACCATACTTTGTTCCCTTCTCTTTTTGCCTATAGCTAAGAAGTTGCCAAAGAGTGAACCCCAGAATCTGGGGGGTGCAGCAGGCCGAAGCCGAGGTGTGGATCTCCATGAGCAGTCCCAGCAGAACAAGAGCCAGTGTTGTAGCAACTGAGGGGGTAGCTAGCAGCAAACAAGTATGGAGCTAGCACGAGAGCTAAGAAATAACCTCCATTCCCACCCCTCAGCACACAGCCCCTACGGTAACAGCACACTGAGCCCTGGCTCCCAAGGGCTGCCTCCTGACAGCTCCGTCATGGCACTTTTTAACGCTTCAGCAACCAACACCAGGCAGCTGTTGCCACTGACCTCCTACCCCTACTTTGGGATTTGGGGGTCAGATCCCCCAGGACTTACCTTCCAAAACAAACTTTCTTCACTTTGTATTATAGGTGCAAGACAGTGACCTACTTATCTTTCCTTCTCCTCCCCATTTTTTCAGAAAACATTTTTTTGTCTCCTGCCCCTTTTGCTTTAGGTCAATCCCTGTTCTTGAACCCCTTTTCCTCCTCTCCCCAGGATGGAGAAGGTGGTGAACCCAGAAACTGAGGAAGGAGGTGTCCAGTTCAGTCACATTAAGGGCCTTGGGGGAGAGTAAGTCTCAGAGCAGGAGGGAGTAAGGAAATTTCCTTTTCAGTTTTATTTGATTGGAATTTCTCATATTTGTAAACACTGCAGTATCCATGAATTCGACTTGTGGAAGGTGTTTCTAGGTAGAGTAAGAATGGGAAGGCAAGCTCTCGGCACCAGGTGGAAGTTGTGTTGTTAGCTAACTGGGTGGAGGTGGAGACGCAGTGTCATCTGTGGCTCTGGAGTTCTTCCAAAGCCTAGTTTCCCCTCACTCAGTCTCTTAGGTAGCTTCTCCCCCATAGTGGGGGAGACTCTGGACCCCAGAGTCCTCCAAAGAATCTTCACTGGTTGCCTGCATCCTTGGCTCTGCTGTGATCTAATTGGAGGAGGGACCAGTTTCTGATACCCATCCTCTGATTTATACATATGCATTTTTTTCTCTCTGGCCTTTAGATGGCCTCAGCCCCAGCCACAATATTCCCCTGCAGTTTGCACTTTAATTGATGGTAGTTCAGTTGGGATACTTATTTTATGGGGGTTTTGATTGATTTACCTGCCCTCTCACCATTTTAATTAAATGGAATCCAAGATGTATATGAGGTTTTGCGGGGGGCTATAGAGAACAGTACCACTGGCAGCTATTCAAGCCCAATCTCCACTGCTTGCTTCCTCCAACTCTGATTCTTAACCTATATTCTTGCCAGCCTAGCTCTTGGGTATAGGTTTGCCTTTCCTGGGGAATTAACTGAAGCAACTGGAGAGTGGTCTCGGGATAGCACAGGCTATGGTAGGGGTGAAGAGGAGTCAGGCAAGAGGGAGGAGTTTTCTCTCCTTTCCCAGGGTTCATGTTTAATTTGATCCGCCCATTACCATGTCTTTTCTACTTCCCTGTAAATAGGTATGATCTTTATTCCCATTGTACAGTCTGTTCTACCCTCCCCCCACTCCCCACCCCACATCAGGCCCTATTTCTTTTCTCCTTTGTTAGTATCTTCAGTTTAGTTCCTCCATGCTTATCCCCATACTCATCCCCCATGCAACCAGTGGTTTAATCCATGTACCACTAGGGCTAGCACCACAGAGGCCTGTTTGTGGCCCCTTATAATAAAGTACCTGTTCCTGTGGACAGAGAATGACTGGCACTGAAGGTCCCTCAACTGTCTCACATCAACCAGACGATGTCGATCCTTTCTAAATCTCCAGCCTCTCTTTACATCCCTCATCAGGTATTTTAGGATGTCTTTGGGAAGCCATCAAGGCAGCAGAGAATTTTAAACTCCTTCTTGTTCCAGCCTAGAGTTTTGGGAAAATTGGGGGAAGTAATATAGGAAAGGCTTCAGTGAAGGATTAGAACCTAAAATTGGAACCTTTCTGCCCTTTTGGCTTTCAGACTTCCTTCTGTCCCAGAGCAGCTGAGAAATCCATGAGGCTGAGATTCTGAGGGACCCAGCTTAGGTTCTCCCACTTAGGCCTCAATTCCCTTCCATTTCCAGGGGCAGCCTTAGTTCCTATGGCCCTGAAACACACATTTTTGCCTTCCTTCCCCAGTACCCCACTAGTCCCCAACAGCACCCAGTGCATCCTTATAAGTGGAAGAACTAGGATGGCTCTCTTAAGTCTCTTAGAAATGAAGTTCTTTCTCTGTGCAGCTTTCCCCATGGAGCAGGAGTGAGGATGTTTCATTGCCTTGGGGCTAGGAAACCATTTCTCCAGGCTTCTCCCCTCTCCTGCCCCCTTTAGGAACAGGATTGGCCTTAGCTTCTGGGCCTATCTGCTGCCTTCCTTTTACTTCCTACCAGCTCTCTGCTTTCCTTTGAGCTCTCTTGGGCTTGGGGATCTTAGTTTTTATTTCCCAGCTCTTCATTTTTTTTCCTTCTGATAAGTTTTTTTTTGGGGGGGATCCCTTTTTTTTCCTCTAAGAAAGCATTTGCCTTTTTTCCTCCTTCCTCTTCCAACATAACAATCGTGGTAACAGAATGCGACTGCTGATTTACCGATGTATTTAATGTAAGTAAAAAAGGAGAAAAAAAAAAAAGAAAAGTGTATTGGAGTGTTGCTTCTTTTTTTTTTCTTTTTTTAACTTTGTCTGACTGATACTAGAAATTTGCAAAAAAGGGCACCCACTAATGTTTTAGTGAATCTGAAACACACCCTCCCCTGCATCTTGGTGCCTCTTTATTCCCTCTAATCTTTTCTTGAATAGTGAGATAACCCAATCTGAAAATAGCCTCTTTATTGCTGTTTAATCACTCCTATTCCCAGGCCACTAGTCAAGTCTGACCATACCTGTTTTTTTAAGGTCCTCTTAACAGAATGTATATATTGGGGGGAAGGGGTTGTCTATGGACCTTTGGGCAGACAGTTGATGGGACTGGAGAGAGATGGAATTTGTGACTCCTTTGAAGTGTTATGCAAAAATGTATGTATTTCTGTAGGGAGAGGTTCCTTTGCTTTACTAGTATCTCAAAGGGGACCATGACCTTAAGAAGGTAAAAAAAAAAAAAAAAAAATCACTGAACTAGCATTTTTTTATTGATCATGTGGCTTTACCCCAACAGGAAAATTTCTCCTGGATCTGCGCTTGTTTCCGACTGTAGGTGAAGCCCTTTAGTCTAAGCGGAGGTGGGTGGGGGAGAATGATACAGAGGAAAGATTAGGTGTGGTTGCAGGAGGAGTTTTAAATCCCAAAGAATTTGAGAGAAAGGAAAGAGGACCAGTGCCAAACAGACCTGGCATTCCAGTCCTGTCCCTGCCAACTTACAGCTGTGGCCTTGATAACTTACTTAGCTGCTCTCTGCCTCAGTTTTTTTCTGTAAAATAAAGAGAAGTTGAGGTTTAAAGGTCAGTTATGTACAGCATGTGTGTGGCATACAGGAGGTGATACAGTTATTAGGGAAGAAGTCTTATCCATCCCGGTGGTTTCCAGCAGACCCAACTGACTTCTCTGTATCCTTGGACTGAACCTGATTTTTTTTTTTTTTTTTTTAGAGAGATAGAGGAAGGGAGAGGGAGAGAGAGAGATAGAAACATCCATGAGAGAGAACATCAATTGGCCACCTCCTGCATGCCCCCCATTGGGGAGCAGACCCACAACCTGGGCATGTGCCCAGGCTAGGAATTAAACCAGTGACCTCTTGGTGCATGGTTCGATGCTTAACCACTGGGCCACACCAGCTAGGCCTGAGCCTGATTATTATTTATTTTTTATCCTCACCCGAGTACATTTTTCCCCCTTTTTGTTCAGGTAGAGTGGGAGGGAGAGAGAGAGAGAAAAACATCGACATGAAAGGGACACATCGAGTGGTTGCCACCCGCACGACCAACCAGGGCCGGGGACAAACTGCAACCAAGGTACGTGCCCTTAGCGGGAACTGAACTCAGGTCTCTCTGGATCACAGGCAGACGCTCTAACCGCTGAGCCAAGCCGGCCAGGGCCTGAGCCAAACCGGCCAGGTCCTGAGCCTGATTTTTTTTTTTTTTAAGACTGGTAAGACGGGTCTAATACCAGGCCTCTCCAGTGATTTAATTATATGCCGTTGTGTTGAAAATCTGTTTTTGAAAACTTAAGATCCAAAATCACCTATTCAGTGTCATTTTCCCTTTCTTTATATTTCCTTTTTTTTTTTTTATCCTCACCCGAGGACATTTTTCCATTTTTTGTTCAGATGGAGTGAGAGGGAGAGAGAGAGAAAAAACATCGACGTGAGAGAGACACATCGAGTGGCTGCCACCCACACAACCCAATTTAAGAGAGCAGAAAGGGAGGGGAAATGATCTTACAAAATCCAAGATGAAGCCCTTAACGTCAAGTAAGTTTGTATCTCAACCTTCTGTTCCCTAGAGGGCAGTGTATATACTTTTGCCCCTGATTCACAGCTGGCCAATGACAAAACAAGTTTTTAGCCCTGCACCAAATGGTAAAAGGGTAATAAATGATTTCTGTTAATGTCCTTTGCTCTGAAATTATGAGCGATTATAATCTTACTAATTTGGGGTGTTACATAATGTATGTCGTTGCCCTTGTTGAACGGCGATTTTTAAAAATTGATTTAACCAAAATTTAAAAGTTGTCTATTCTGGGTTGTTGGGTCCATAATTTGGGGAGAAATTCGACCATTCCGAGGAATCTCAAAGTCTTTGAACCATCATTTAGGCTTTGTTTGTGCTCTCATTCTTGTGTATTAGAGAATTGATCGCTTGACCTTGTTTTCTCTAAAAAACAAACAGACGTTAGTCAAAAACAGGGTAGAGGCGAGCCTCACCGCTAGGAGCAATCAGGCTGGATCCCGAGGCCTCCTCCAGTGAACGCACCTTTAGTCTCAGCTGTAGGGGCGGGGAGGGGGCATCTCAGTCTCCCATCTTTCAGCCCAACCTTTGGAGTCCTCGTCACCTTCCACTGCCCTGGTTCTGGGCAGTAGTGAGGGTCCCATTCCTTGTCCGGTGGGGGTGGGAAGAAGAAAAAAAAACCTGCTCTAGATTCAAGCCCTGGAGGAGCCCCGCCTGCTTTGGCCTCCAGGAGGCGGGCACAACAGCTAGGAGGCAGTCCGAGGCCCGCCAATGGCTGGGGGACGAGCGGAGGAACGCGAATGATCCTGTAATTCCTACCCAACGTCACAGCGTTGGCCTCGCCCCTTTGCCAGCAGTCTCCGGGCGCTGGACGGTCCATCCTGCGGACGTAAAACAGGGTAAGGGGTTTGGAGCCGGGAGAGGGAAGAGGAGGGGGAAAGGGCTGGTGACCCGGGCGGCATTGACACTCAGGGGTTCTTCAAACCCCAAGGACAATAAAACTGCCAGAACCTACCTCCATTCCCGCTATCTGGGTGCTCCTGGGGAGCGGAGTATGGCTACAAAACACTCTTGTGCCAGCTGGACATCTCCTACCTAAAGTACCCCAGAGGAGTGAGAGCCCCCCCCCCCCCGCACAAGGTGGTGACATCTGTTATGTAGCAGAAGGCTGCTTCTCCCAAAACCTGGGACATTGAATTGACTGAGTTCTCCTGCAGGTTAGCCCTACCTGCACCATTCAAGTCTGATCAAGTGGGCTGCTGGGATTGAGGGCAGCTGGGAGGGAGAGTGAGAGGCCCATGACCCAGGAGTAAAATGCAGAATCTGCCCCTATTCCTTTCTCCCTCACAGTCTCTCTTCCTGCCCCCTCTTCAGCACCTCATCAGGGATTGGGATTCTTCTCACTCCTCCCCACTTGGGCCTCCTGGGGTCAGTGATCTGCTCAGTGCTGTGAGGAAGAAACTGCTGCAGGGCAGAGAAGAGAAAAATTACCTTCTTCCTTCTCTAGCCCATCCCCTGACACTCTTGGCCATTAGCACCTCAATTTGCTGATCTCACTGGAGTGGCATAGACCAGGTAGGGGTGGGGACCTGGGGTTTCGGTCCATTTCACAGCTGGGTTCAACTTTTTTTAGGGTGAATGGAGAGAGAGGAGAGGACTGAAAGGCTTCAAAGATAATGCTATTACTTGTTTACTGGTCACAGAAGCTGTGCTAGGTAGATCTCATTTCATAGATGAGGAAGCAAGTTCCGAGAGGCTTCATTATGTTGCCCAGGGAACAGGGCTGGTCAATGGAAGGGCGGGTTTCACAAACCCAAACCAGTTTGGCTCCACAATCTGAGCTCCTTTACCAAATTAGGCTGCCACTACCTTTTTGTTCTTAAGTCAGTCTGCCTTTCAGTTGTCTTCTCCTGACTTCAGAAATAAATTCTGCCCTCTTAGGCCTAAAAGTAGAGTGGAGGATGGAAGATGGGTGATTCTAGAAGACTCCTATTTCTCCTCCCACTTCTCCCATTCCCTTTTATCCTGTCAGTACAGTCTGTCTCTGAAGTGTTCCAGGCTTGCTCCAAGGGCCCATTTGAATCCCCACTCATACCCTTTGGCCTCATTACCACAGAAAAAGTCTCTCCATGTGACCTCCTCTGTCTTCCTCCTACCCATTCCCTCAAACTGCCCTAATATCACCCCTTCCCAGGAATTCCTATCTTGATCCCAGAATCTTCCTTCTACAGGTCTGCCACAATGCTGCTGCTGCACAGAGCTGTGGTCCCAGGGCTCAGACAGGCCTACAGGTAGGCCAACCCATCCTAAGAGGTCTTCTAACCCATTTCACCCACTCCCTGTCTTTATACTGTCTTTTCTTATCTGCCAGATAAGATAGTTGAGATGGTAGCCAGGAATGAAAGGGCAAGCCAGGTCCCACTTGTCCCACCCATCCCTGGAGCAACTAAGTTCCAATGGAAGGAACCAATGGCAAACCAAGGAGAGGTAAACCCTAGGCCTTTATTGATCAGAAGTGTGCTACTAAGAACACCTCTTTCTCTTCTAGATTCAAGTCTACCCACTCAAGGCTCTGCATTCAGGCCTGCTCTACAAATGATTCATTTCAGCCCCAGTGCCCCAGCCTTGCCTTCTCTGGATATAACTCCAGCACCAAGAGATGGAGAGTCATGGGGACCCTGCTAGGCCTCGGTGCAGTGTTGACCTATCATGACCACCGTTGCAGGGTAAGTGGGAGAGGAAGAGATTTTACTATCAGAACAAAGGGACCCTATTGTGCTCCCCAGCAAGCCAGGGTGTTACCATAGAGCCCACAGTGACAGTCTTCATGCATAGTAGAGATGAAATCTGCTACCTTCATTTCCCAGTGGCTACAACTTTGTGGATTGGCTCAGGGTGAGCTTCAGTGATTTTTTCTTAATAATCTGTTTCCTTTTGCTTCACCCCTTCCCTGCCTGCAGGCTGCTCAGGAGTCTCCACACATATACACAAGGGAGGAAGTTAAGGCCCACAGCAGCCTCGAAACTAGGATCTGGGTGACTCTGGGCTCTGAGGTTTTTGATGTCACAGAATTTGTACACCTACACCCTGGGGGGCCATCAAAGCTGATGCTAGCAGCTGGGGGTCCTCTAGAGCCCTTCTGGGCCCTCTATGCTGTTCACAACCAGTCCCACATACGTGAGATACTGGCTCAGTACAAGATTGGGGAGCTGAGCCCTGAAGACAAGGCGCCCTCCACCTTGAAGACCTCTGACCCTTACGCTGATGATCCTATACGTCACCCAGCTCTGAAGGTTAACAGCCAGCGCCCCTTTAATGCAGAGCCCCCCCCTGAGCTGCTGACGGAAAACTACATCACACCCAATCCTATCTTCTTCACTCGAAACCATCTGCCTGTACCTAACCTGGACCCAAACACCTATCGCCTGCATATAGTAGGACCACCCCGGGGTCAATCACTGTCCCTATCCTTGGATGATTTGTACCAGTTCCCCAAGCACGAGATCACGGTTACTCTGCAGTGTGCTGGCAACCGGCGCTCTGAAATGAATCAGTTAAAAGAAGTAAGAGGCCTGGAATGGAGAGCAGGAGCCATTAGCACTGCACGCTGGGCTGGGGCACGACTATGTGATGTATTATCCAAGGCTGGTCACCAACCCTGTGAAACTGAGGCCCATGTCTGCTTTGAGGGACTGGACTCAGACCCCACAGGGACTGCTTATGGAGCATCCATTCCTCTGGCTCGGGCCATGGACCCTGAAGCCGAAGTCCTGCTGGCATATGAGATGAATGGGCAGCCTCTGCCTCGTGACCACGGCTTTCCTGTGAGGGTGGTGGTTCCTGGTGTTGTGGGTGCCCGCCATGTCAAATGGCTAGGCAAAGTGAGTGTGGAACCAGAGGAAAGTTACAGCCACTGGCAGCGGCGAGATTACAAAGGCTTCTCTCCATCTGTGGACTGGGACACTGTAGATTTTGACTCAGCTCCATCTATTCAGGAACTTCCTGTTCAGTCAGCTATCACAGAGCCCAAGGATGGAGAGATGGTAGAGTCAGGGGAGGTGATTGTCAAGGGCTATGCATGGAGTGGTGGTGGAAGGGCTGTGATCAGGGTGGATGTGTCTCTGGATGGGGGCCTAACCTGGCAAGTGGCTGAGCTGGATGGAGAGAAACAACG